TCGTATTTTGCACGTTTTTCTGTTGGAAAAAAAAAGAACGAGATAAGAACACAAACCTCGTTACTTCCTTTCTCCTACAATGCTCCTCTCTGAACCTCCCTCGGGAAGCTATTCCCCATAAGCATTCTCACCACGTGACTTCTATTAGCCAATCAAGAAACCACAAGAGCACTGAGAGTGTTACGTCATCTTGCCGTCACAAGGTTACGTCATGCTGCTTAGAAACCTGCGGGTCGGGTCAATTCTCGAAGGCGCCTATACAGTGAGCACTATCACAGAAACGGCCTTTTGATAATTTTTAAAGGAAATTCGAAGCCAAATAAATTTTCCTACCAGGGTCGCTGAGCACTTCCTTAGCTGCAGCGATGTCGATGAACATTTTCTCGGCTTTCTTCTTATCGTCGCCTTCATAATGATCAGGATGCCATTGTACAGCGAGTTTTCGGTACGACCGCATGATTTCCTTCTTCGTTGCTGACCTGAAAACAAATAAACAGGTTCCTAGTATTGAATGCTGTTCTTTCTTTAAATAAACTACACCAACTATTTCAAAGTCGACATAAATAAACTTACCTTTTCAATCCCAATATTTTATAGTAATCCCGTTTCTTGGACTGCTTTTGTAGTCTTTGCGCTCTGTCAAGACCTTCTTGGACCTGCAATCGATTTAAACCGATACACAACTATTAAGATAAGTTTTAAATACGTCACTGTATGTTTGGTTAGAAAAGTCACTTGGGAGTTTACGAAAACACGACGGCAACGGGAACGTCACTGAACAGAAGAATTAATGAGTAGTACAATGGCTGTGCACGTGCGTTATAATTCTTGGTAAGTTTCTTTGCCGTCCTCTGCGAAACAACAACCTGAAATGACCAAATTTCGCGTTGTCTGGAGAACGTGAACCACGACGACTAACTTTTTAAATTTTTATTTCAAATTTATCGCTGTGTTCCGGATTTAGTTTTGCGATAGGTTTGACAGTGATAAACAAAGTAAATGACTTTAGAGTATCGCGAGATTCGTAGGTAAAATATAAATTCATTTGTTAAACGACGTTGTCCTCGGCGTCGCCGTCGTGGTTTCGTAAACTCCCAACATTCAAGGAAGCCGCGTCACAAGCCAGCGGTTGTCAAAATATTCTGTTCTTGACAGGATTTGCACTTGTCTCTTCCTTCCAAGTACGTTTAGTTGATCCAAAAACTGAAGCCCCACGATCCACACTACGCCGAGGGTATGAAAACGGAGGTTTCACTCTGAAAACGCATCAAATGTTTTCCGCCCACACTAAGGAGGAATTTGAAAACGGAGGTTTCACTCTGAAAACGCATCAAATGTTTTCCGCCCACACTAAGGAGGAATTTGAAAACGCGACAATCACCGGCCATTTTGGATTTGTGTTTGAGGAACAAACTCGGTCAGGGAAATCACATGACTGTCGTGACGTCATCGTTTTCGAAAAGCTCCGTTTTCAAAATGTTTTCTGTCCACAAGAAAACGAAAAGCCNTGGACGGTAGGCCTAACCGTAGAAATAAAGTTGCGTTTTCAGATTTCTCCGGTTTGAAGAGCGTTTTCGTGACGGATTTGTGTGGACGGTAGGCCTAGCCGTAGAAATAAAGTTGCGTTTTCAAATTTTTCCGTTTCAGCTCCGTTTTCGTGACGGATTCGTGTGGACGGTAGGCCTAGCCGTAGAAATAAAGTTGCGTTTTCAGATTTCTCCGGTTTGAAGAGCGTTTTCGTGACGGATTAGTGTGGACGGTAGGCCTAACCGTAGAAATAAAGCTGCGTTCTCAAATTTCTCCGGCGTAGTGTGGATGCTGCCTGAACTACCAAAGACTCGTAGTGACTTACAACTTGGGACAATATCCCCTAATTGACGATTAACTAAATTCTTGCCACCTGTCTGCTTGGTGATGTATTGATATTTTAAAGAGAAGATACGTGTTGATCAGCTTACCTTGTGTAAGTGTTCATTGATATTCTTTGCTTTCTGGTAATCCGCTACGGCTGTGGGTAAAAAAGTGGTCGATAGTTTAGTTAAGTTCCTTTTCCTTACGTGGAGGATAGGGCCAGGTTGCTCGAAAGTTAGCACAAACAAAGCACATTACGAGTTTTGTTTTATTTCCAGGTTCGTTTATTAAGGAGGAAAAAACATGCGCGAAAAAAATGGACGCGCAGAAAACAGGACTGAACCGTGCCTTATCTCGGATTACGTTTTCCTGTATTTCTGTCAGTAAGTTTTCCAAAATTTACGACCAATCAAATATCATACAGTTACACGTACCATTCACACATGTAGCACGTGCCATTCACACGTGTAGTACGTGCCAGTCACACATGTAGCACATGCCATTCACACATGTAGCACGTGTCATCCACACGTGTAGCTGCTTTGACCTCTTCTTCCAAAGCAATTTGTTTTTGTTTGGTTAAGGAGAAGACAACCCAACAGAAAGAATAACGTCGAAAGAGACCTCAACGCAAATCACAATCGAAAATATCGACAGTAAAGCGAAATGAAAGAGAAGCAATGGTAAAAGGAACATGAAAGTAGAGATTAAAAAATGGCATTTTCGTACCTTCATCATACATTTCATTCAGTATGTGTGCTTCCGCTCTGTCGCACAAAGCGTCAACATCATTTTCGTCAATTTTCAACGCTTCGTTGCACTGTATGATAGCATCGCTGGGATTTTCAAGCTGAAAATCAAGACAACGAAAAGTAAAATTTAAAGGAGAAAACATCTTAAAACTGTCGTCGTTTGAACAGTCCAGTGCGATACGAAGATGACCCGAAGAGTTTCCGAGTCTTTTCATCCAATCAGAAACTTCACGACCATTCCGAAATGTTGTGTCGTCAGCTAGTCGCCATCAAGTCCTGTTACCTACAGTCGTGGACAAAAGTCCTTGGGACACTTACGTAATGTAACGGATTATCTGTGTTTTAGAACTGAAGTATGAAGAAAACGCTGCTNTATCCTTCATAAACGGATTGCTGTCCCCCCAGTCCCCTCCAACACAATGTTGAAAATCAGCTGAAATTGCACGTACTAGTTTTCAACATTGTATGGGGGGTGGGGGGACGAGGTTACGCAGGTGAAGTTGTTTTCGCGCCTGGCGTGTACGCAAAAGCGCCAAAAGTGCAAATTTGTCCCAAGACTTTTGTCCATGGTTGTAGCAACAACTCCGTGCAATCAACTATTGCCAATAAGCCTCTTTTACTTCGCCATGATCCTTGAGTGACGTGTGCGGCCTTATGTCCCAGTGACGGCACACGAATTTGCGGTCATGGCCTGGGGAAAAGCCGAGCAGGCAAGATACAACACAGCTCGTGACTTTTATGTGTTAAGAATGAGAGGGGAGGCTCACCTTGAGGTAACAATGGCAGAGTTGTCGTCTAGCCTTGCCCACAAGAGAAGGGACTTTAGACTCTGTTTTGAGTGCTTGTTTCAGTTTGGATTCCGCTTCTTCATATCTGTGTCAAGAAAGAGTCAGGTAAGATCACTGGTAACCATTAAATTATAAGTTCACAAGTACACGTGAAAGAGCTTCATGCTCTGTTAGTGAATAAATAGCCCATTAACTTACTAATTAGACTACTCAGCCAATCTCAAACCGTAGTAAAACCAAAACCAAAACCAAAACCAAAACCAAAACCAAAACCAAAACCAAAACCAAAACCAAAGTAATTCCCTCATTACTTTCGACACTCAGTTGAAAACTGATCTATTCGTCAAAAGCATATCTAACATTCATGATAACTTACTCTCCATGGTTGATCAGATCTTGAGCTGCTTGCATTTGTTTATTCAACTTTTTAAGTTTCTACAAAAAAAACAATGTGAACAATAAAATAATATGAACTACAATTTATTCATTTACTAGGGCAAGACCTTATCATTCCTTATTGTATTCATTAGTGATATTAATTCATTGTTTTCTTTATTTATGTCGGGTTTCCCTTCAACTTTCCTGGGTGTTATGAATGTACAATCCTGGTTAAAAGCCTTGCACACTCTGTACCTTTGCCATCACATGGTGTTTCTGTTCACCTCCCCATCCCTACATTGCTTTGGGCCACAGGGGGATTGGACTTCCCACTTCAAAATAATGTGTCACCAGTTGGCATTTTGTCAAGTGTCCCAAGGACTTTTCACCAGGATTGTAGGTCATATCAGAGGCACTATCCTGTACATCTACAGACAATTCTTGTCTGTGTTGTATCAAATCTGCAAACTGTCATCTCAGACACTGACTTGCAAATCAGTTAAAAAAACAGTGCTACTGACAATTTCCAATTCTTCTCTTAATGGGGAATATAAGTTACGTGGCAATAAAAAGCGAAATAACAACTGAACGAAAATGTTGGAAAATAATCCACAAGGGGACATTCAGGTTTTGTTGTCTGTTGTCAGATAGAAAATTTAGGAATATTGTCTTGAACTGAATGCTAGAAAAAACTACAGTCGAACCTCTTGTAAGTGGAGACCTTTGGGACCAGAAAAAGAGTCGGCTTATGATGGGTGTTCGCTAGTGGAGGTTTGACCGTACTGAGTACAACCATACAGAAAGACAATGTAAAATCTTGGGTTTTACCAAACCTGACTTAACAAAATTGGACTTGTACACACCTTGTAGAAAGGAAAGCAGTCTTTGTGATCAGGATCAAGCTTGAGACATTCTCGAATTTCCCTGGAATGTTCAAAAGAAAAACACTAGATATATGGGCAAAGACTAGCTCTTAATAAGCCTGTGTGTAAATATCACATTTCATTTAAACGGGGAACCTTTATTCCTTACCTCAATGCATCCTCTAGTTCTCCCATTTCATAATGCAATTCACTGAGTCTAAGGTAAGCTGCTGTATTGTCAGGTATAAGTTTGGTGGTCGGCCTGTAAAGGTAAACCACAAACTGTTAACTACTAGTAGCAGCCTGGGACATTGTATGCTCAGAGGAAGGATGCAGAAACATCTTAACAGTAAATAAGGTAACCTTAATTATATACAATTTTTAAAAAGGAAACAAAATTTTTCATTTTACAATCAATGTTTCGACATTCTTATGTCATCCTCAGTCTTCAGTTACAAATATTCGATGGTTGTACATTTGAATAAACAATAATAATATGTGGTATCTATTGCACAATTCCAGAAAACACCCATACTTCCCCACAGAGGGGATTGGAATTTCCTGGGCATGGGGGTGGGGGGGGNAATTGTTAAAAAAGTACAGTTCCAGAAAATATCCATACTCCCCCCACAGAAGGGATTGGAATTTCCTGGGAGATGGGGGCTCTGTAAGACCAAAACATTTAAAGAAATGTATGAAGATTTTCCATAGGGTTGGGGAGGGCTTTAGAAAAAATCCCTTCTGTGTAGAAGGTATGGATATTTTTTGAAACTTTCCATTGAGAATTAAGTATTTATTTCATAAAATGGGTTCTAGATGTAAGACAGGCAGTTGCTGGTGGCCTAAATGGATGCAATCCTTTCTGATTCAGGATAGAGGGTATGTATCCAAGAACTCACGATTTACAAGACCAGAACCCTGAGGCGCCCCACTGACTGAAGCTGACTTTGTGAATGTGTCACTTAAGCATTGATTGAGTTTTGTTCATCCTAAACATTGATTGAGTTAGCAAACTCAGGTCACATATTCAATTCATTTCTAATCTAGTGATTAGTTCATGTAACGTAGCCTTTAAAAAAACTTATAGAGAATACCTAAAGTAGCCAAAAGACTCACTTGATGTCTGAAATTGCACTGATGAAGTCTCCCATATTTTCATGACAATCAGCTCTCATTATTCTTAGCTCAGTATCCCATGGGGCAACCTGGAAGCCGAAGAATAGTCACCTCCTAAATTTCATTCTTGTAGTGGGGACATGGAATTTATTAACCTTCTTGACAGAGAATTGCTAAAAAGTAATCACTACAAAGAAACCAGGAGGCATGCCCTGTGAGAAAACAGAAAATTTATGTGTCTTACAGGATGAGTCTTGTTTCTTTAAAGATGGGGTAGGAAATTCCTTCATCAGTAACTAATTTAAATTGTTGATGTTATGCTTGTCTGGTAACACTTTTTAAACAAGACCTAAGTTTCAACCTACTTTTTTCCCATCAATTTATGGCTCACATGGTTAATGCTGGCGCCATAAATTAATGGCAAAAACTTGGTTCACATATAAGGGCTGGTAAATGGTAAGTGCGAGACTTTGCGAGAACCCAAGACTAGCGTTTTTCTTTGCGAGCCCAAGATATTTTGACCTTTTAAATTGCTAGACTGAGACTTCATAGTGTTTTAAATACGACTATGAGATGTTCAGACTCTAAGATGTTCTTCAGATATCATTAATAAAAACAAACAAACAAATAGGGACTCAAAGACTTTCTTTGCCTTGTAAAAATTCAAGACTGAGAAAAAAAAACAGAGAGTGGGAGATGCACATAACTGCTAAAACAAGGACTGCAAGATCTGTGAAATTCGACAGAAATACAATCGCAAGGCCCATGATTTTTGAAAGACTATTCACCATCTCCTACATATGGACTACAAACTCATTTAATAAGATCTACTCTATGAAGTGACAACTATGGTACCTCTATTGCTCTTCCCAGTAACTCAATAGCTCTTGAGTAATCTCCCATATTAACAGCATTTCTTGCTTCTGTAATCTCTCTTCTGATGGGATCTATTACACTTAACTGCCAGAAAAAAACAGATAAACAAAAAAAATGTAACTAAACAGGGAAAACAGAGCATACAATAGTTTTACATTTCTTCCATTCAACAAAACATTTCAATTTCATACCTGTTGCAGTGCGTCTGGATTATCTGGATTTTTGTGTAACTGAAAAGAACATCGACCCATTAATTAAGGTTGAAAAGAGATTTGTAGTAATTTACCCTCATTTAAATGACATCTTCTTTTTCTTTTAATTAATTTCATGAACTACAAAATCAAGTCTTACCACTGCCTCATAATCAATGTGTGCTTCATCTAACCTTCCTTGTTTAAGTAAAACATTCCCTCTTTGTAACCGTGCCTGTTCAAACAAAAATAGATTTTTAATAACTAAAAAAGCCCTGAAAAAATTTGAACACATGTATTTCTTCTTTACTCATTCACTGTTGTATTTTGGTTGCATTTTAAGTCAATTGCTCTAAGTTAGAGATGTTCCTGTGTCAGTTACTCACTGGCTTTTACATTTATATTGACAATATTACTTTTACATGCACCTCTTGTAAGTTCTGTTTAAAGGGATGTCAAAACCAGAAGTGACATTATACCACATGTGCTCCACAAATGAAAGAAAAGTTCAGTTGAACATGTAATATGGCACCTGTTTTTTGGGGGGTCCACATTTTTTTCAAAAAATACTTATTTAGAATATATAAATCAAACAGACACTTGACAGAAACAGAGACTAACAGCGCATGGTAAAGATCAAGTTTGCTGACCTTTTACAATAAAAAATATGAGGTTTTGCATACACTGATCATCAGTCGGTGATTAACTGGCCATTTTTGAGGGGTTATTTTGGCAGTTTGGACAAGCTTCAGTGGCCGTTGTCATTGTGGAGAGGTGGCCACTGTAGAGAGGTAGAAATAAGAGTGAATGTATGGACTGTGTGCTGGGACCAAACAAGTGGCAGTTGTACAGAGGTGACCATTACTGGAGGTTCCACTGAACTGCAAATTGTTTGATGAATAATTTCAAAATAAAATGAAGACACAAGTGAAGGGATGTAAAGAAGCTTTACATGTTAACATAGATTTGAAAAAAAAGAAAGAAACAGGATGTAAAATAGCATCCCCACCCTTTTCACCCTCTAAACCAGGAAACTATCATACCTGGAAAAAGTCAGGTCTTAGCTCGAGGACTCTATCTAAATCAGGCAAAGCAGATTTTGAACGGCCCATGGCAAGTAATACTGTTGCTCTCTTAAAGTATGTTAGAAAATTATCTGGATCTCCCTCTGAAACAAACAGGGAAACAAAAATAAGCAATACACTTGTTATTTTCAAATATAATAACATATGACCACTAAATGCCAAGTCAAGATAAAAAAAAAAGCCTTGCATATTCACTGGGAAAAACCTTCTTAGAAAAACAGTAACTGTTATGTTGTGCCAATTGAACTCTCTCGTTCTAATTAGCTCATTACTACAGTATAACCGTTTGTTTTCTTTTGCTATTGTTATCAGACTCCTAATTTGTTGTATGTTATTTTGTTACTGTTATTGTTATTGTTTTATAGTTATTATAAAATCAAATGTAACTTGCAAAGTAATTTAACTCAAAACTGAAGATGGTCGATGGACGACTGAACAATGTCTTGCAAAAAAATCTAATGTGTTATATTTCTAAAAATTATAGGCTTGCTTTTATCCAGATATTTTGAACAACAAAACACATTTGAGCATATTGAGGACTAGCAGATCTATAGAAAAAATTAATGTTTCTGTACATATCAAGTCACGTTCTTTGCAAATCAATTAATAAAAACAAAGCTTGGCATCATTCTATTGGTCGCCTTCTTAATTAAGTTTCGCGCAAATTATTTTGACCCGGCGAAAGATGATGCAAGGAAGCGAGTACCTTTATATAATACGAAGCCTTTTCTTCTTTGCATACTTCAAATGCATGCCACAAAACCTACTAATGCCTCAAAAAGATGCGGGTTCCACTTGACAACAATCTAGAACTAGAATTATGTGATTCATTCCGGGACGTATCAAATTATAACATTCAAACTTCTACGACAGGCTCGTTTCGAGAAATTAAAATATAGCGCTTTTCCCACAGAGGTGGAATATTAAATGCTTCAAGCAATATCACTTTTCTCTGTTTCTGAAATAATTCTAATACCGAGTTTCAAAACAAAACGTTACGTTACACTCGCCGGTATAAACAAATTTATTGAAAGAAGTCCCAGATGATCGCGGATCGCGAGTGATCGAGTATATTCAACACCTATACCATAATTTAATTTTCTGTAGCAAAGTTAGATTGTTAAATCACGTTGCAGTTTTATTTATCTACAACCTAGAGCTGATAATTCTCTAATGTAGAGAATTTTACTGACCGGTAATGAAACTGACATCATAAATTTAGACAAGTAAAAATTAAATCAATTTGGAGAGTCAATGTTCATATGATTTTACCACAATAAAATCCACTTACCTACTGCTGCATGATAGTGCACTAAAGCATCGCTTAACTGTCCACTTGCAAGCAATTTCTTGCCGTGTTCAAGATGATTTTCAATCTCTGATGCCGAAAGTTTGCTGGAAACTCCTGCAAGATGAAATGGGATTTAACAGGCACGTCATCGACTAACTCTTCTACTGATTCACTACAAAATCCTAACCCGTAAGGCCGCCGAAAGATAATCTGCTAGTTTTAAAGGACTCACCGATTATCTTAAGTTCCAGGCTGATGAAAATTAAATGTAAAGACGAAAAAAGTTGGCCGAAACTACACATTTTCTGACTGACACCGGCCGATGTTTTGCCTTAATTTTCTGTTTCCCTCTCTGTTCTAAAGAAGTGAACCGCAGCTCATTTTCAGTGTTGGCGCACTCCATCGTGGTTGCACCCGATTGGTCAATAACTTGTACCCAAACTTCCAAAACTTATTCGCGGAGTAATAATCAGACAGGACTGGGAAACAAACATGGAATTGTTGTTATTCTTGGAAGGACCAAAGAGATGAACCTCCCTCCCTCTTTCCAACATACGCACACTCTCCCCGAAATCAATTGCAAAACATGGGCCGGGTTGTTCGAAAGCCGGTTAACACAAACCCAGGATTAAAAGTTAAACGAGGTATCAATTTGTTTTTGTTTAAAAATGCTTTTCAGTGTTTATGTTTTGTGTAGTTTGAAATTATTCAACCTCAAAACTGAAGGACAAACAAAATAAACAGAAAACCTTACCAAAAAGTTGCAAATTTGAAATCAAAATTCTCGCTAACCGTGGGTTAACTTTACCGGGTTTTGAACACCCGTTTCTCGAAAGCCCCGGAATTTTTCTACCCCGAAAAACCATTTTTAGTTCATCTGTATCGAGAAACAGGAAGGTGTATAGGCCTGAAACTTCTTGTGTGAAGGGAACTTCTGGTCATATTAAGAATACATGTATGTAAGTAAAACAGCTCTGTAATCATAAGGTTTGAGATTTTACTACGGCTTTCCGGGTGCGAAAACTTTTCGGGACCTTCGAGAAACGGACCCCAGAACGCTAATGTCCCTTTTTGCAAGGGGAGGGGGTGGAAGAGGGGGTGATCGTGATTTTTTTGTCGAAGTCTCAAACTGGCCGCTTAACAGATGGCCTATCCTAAAAATACTCACTGGGCATGGTCTAAAGTCAATTTGAAAGGCGTATCCAGGGCGTATCAATCAAAAATTCTTCATGCAAGGAAACAATAGGACAATCAACACTCTTTCAAGCGATCAATACTTTAAACAAAGTTCAGTGCCAACTTGTTACTTAACGGTATAATATGCGTAACATCGTGTAAAAGTACGGTGCAATAAATTGTCCTCTACTCTTCTACGTTGTACAGTACTATATTCCTCAGTATTACTTACAGTTCCCAACAAAACGTGATGATGGATCGCATTTTAAACATAACAATAAAAAAAACAAGCATTTGGATGAGCAGAAAATCGGGACTTTGAAAACTGGCCGCTTAGATAGGGGTTGTCCGCTTAATACATATACAGGGCCGTTATATACAAGTTCGACTGGTATTTCAAACCTGGGATCAGCAGATAATGATCTAATCAAGAATGTTACAAGCCGGTTATTACCCGCTCAAGCTTATTGAAAGTAATGTAATTTCCTGCATACGATGCACTTTGTTGACCGCCTCTAATTGATCTTTAAAGCTTTTTTCAACTTATATTTCAGCCAGGTTTAATTACATAAAACTCAGTACAAAATATGGTAAACGCTCACTCAGATGTTTGCTTCTAGATGTAATTGGAAAACTTGAACTATTCCTACGAAACTTTCACATCCGAAAGATTTTCGTCTAGTTCTTCAGGCAATCTTCGATCCTTCCCACGAAGATTGCGTGACGAGCGCAAAGAGCATCTGCATGTAAGCCTCCGTGCTTAGTTATTGGACAATTTTTCTACTTGACATTGACTTTATTTTTATGCAATTAAAATGGCAGTTAACAAAGCATTTCTTTTGCTGATTCTGTGCTGAAGCGACAAGGGCCTTGTTTGTGGTTAGATTTCATGCGGAAATGAACAGATAAATTGCAATTCTACTCTATTTTTTAGCTACTAAGAACAACAATTAACAAAATATGCTCTTACGTTGATTCTGTGCTAAAACGACAAGGGCGCTCTAGTTGTGTTTAGATTTTGGGAATGAATGCAATTTTATGTTTGCACAAACTCAAGGATATTATCATGGTTTCGTTGACCGACAAAACTTACTTTTTACTACTTTTTTCATCTGAAAGCCCGATACTTGATTAGATTTGAAGGGAGCTGAGGCCGAGCGTAAATGTTTGGATAGGGAATATATTGGTGATGATGATTTTGGGTTCCCACCCAATCGTGTTCGTCTCCACTGCCTGTACTTTCATCGGATCGTTTTGAACTAATTGATTCAAATTACTGATACAGTGAATTTTGTCACTTCACATTTTTAGCCAGTATTGTAGTTGACCGCTCACTTTCGCTAACCTCGTACCCAGGTCTGTTTTCACCGAAGGGTCAGAGGTCCTGAGTACGAGATTATATTACACTTTCATAGTGATTTGGGTGTGGCTCAAAACAGTAATATTTCCGTGATACGCCTGAGCTCTAACGCGCACTTCAGCGCGAGGCATCACGCGATCAACCGAGGGGCCGCGAGATAGCGCGCGAGATTTAAAGTTTCCAAAACTCAAAACAAACATGGCGGCGCGAGGCCGACTACTTTGTAAAACTTTGTTTCCGCCAACTTTAGTAAGCTGTTTGCGTTATCAGTTGTTTTTACCTTTGATAATAATATGCATGAAAAAATTACTCGATTCTGATTGGCTGAGAGCAGTGCTGTTGAAGTGTAACACCAGTGCAAAAAGTGTAACATCAGTGCAAAAAGTGCAACACCAGTGCAAATTACACATTGTAATTCTAGATTATGATTGGCTGAAAGAAAATAGGAAATTTTCTAAGCCACATAAAATGGCAATGCTTTTTCTACAGATGTCACAATCTATTGGGAATATTACACCACTGGTGTCTGGGAATAACATTTAATTCTTGCATCAATCGCAACAATCCTTTTGATTAAAGCAACAGGTTTGCTTGTAGGGTCATGTATCTAGCTAAAAATTAACAAAAACACATTAGCATGTAAAGTAATGATAGTAATAAATACGTGTATATGAATAAATAGGTATATAATAATTATATACGTATTTATTCATGTTGACAAAAGTTACTTTCTCGCTTTGCATTTGCATCAAGGTCGCATTGACTCCCGAAGA